GAGAGAGAGAGAGAGAGAGAGAGAGAGAGAGAGAGAGAGAGAGAGAGAATGCACTTCCCAGGCAGTGCCGAGCAGAAGGCAAATCCCAACAGCTCTACTTGGAGAAAACAAACATGTCTTGCAGCGCTCCGCCCGATACCCCACACCACACGCGACACTCTGTCCTGCGACCTCCCCGAAAATGACCTGAACCTGTCTGTGCTTTGGACCCGCACCCAACTCGACGTTTCGTAATACCCCGCACCTGCACCACGCTCGGACCATCACCGACTAGACGATTCGCGATACCCCTCGCGACAGTCAGCCCGGCGCCCTGCCCATAAATGGCCCACCTGATTAAAAAAAACTCCCAAAAAAGGCCCGCATCGAAAAAAAAAGTGAAACGCGCTACAAACTTTGCCCTGCCCTGGGCCTAGTTGTGGGCCCAACCGGGAAACGAGTTTCGCCAGACAGCGTCATGCAATACCTGCTTTTTCTTTTTAGGAAGAGTGAGGGATGATATATACAGTCAGCTCGGACTTCGCGCACTCACTCCCCACAGACAACAACACTGGCCCACTTCAATACCAGTGGCATGCAAGACCCGCTGTTTTTTTTTTTCAGGAAGAGCGAGGGATGAGATATACAGTCATCTCGCACTTCGCGCACTCGCTCCCCACACACAACAACACTGGCCCAGTTCAAGACCATCTTCTCCAGAGCATAAGCCTGGGAAGATTCAGAATTTTGTTTTCATCATATGGCATAACAATTGACCTAAATACATCTATAAAAACTATACCTTATGTTGTGGGGAAGATTGCAGAACAATGAAAAACGCTTTTCTAAAAGGAACTTTGGAAAACCAGAGCTCCTGGTTATCCTGACACCCAAAGCCATTTTTTTATTTTATTTTTTATTTCACACTCTCATGCTCACACTCGTTTGACTGAATGGGACTCTCTTTGAGTCTACTGTCTTCACCCAAACAGAACGCCTGGTCATCTTGCTGTGCATCTAGACCGAAAGTTGCACCGAAAACGGCTATATAATGACCGGGCATTTTATTCGCGTGAAGGCGGTAGTCTCCTGTTGTGAGTATCATACCGATCAACTCTCTCCAACTACCGCCATATAACCTTTTTTCTTTTCGCACCATATAACTTTTTCTTTTTTCCCCACATAAATGTTCTACCTTCACCCCAAACTTACATTCCTACCTTCATCCCCTTCATCCCCTCCTCCCCCCCCGCCCAACCCTTTCCTCCCGCAAACAAAACGCGCCCACAAGCATACCATATGAAGAATCTTTCCAAATTTGAAGTTTGAATAACCACCACATCACAACCTCCCACACCATCTGTAACCTGGAAGCTGCCCCTTGTCACTCACTCTGCTGGCCACCTAACATTTGTCTCCTGCCCAACTTGCAACATATCAAAATTATGAGAGGCCATACACAATTAACCTCCATCCTCACTAACCTCGGACAAATACTGCCTCAGCAGCATACAAACCTGCTCTGCCGCTTTACCAGTCCAGCAGCGTGATTTCTCAAATTTCTCCCATCCTTTCCTCTCTTCTTCTCTCTCATTGAAATACAAATCAAGTACCACCTTCTTCCCCACTTTTTCACCACGAGTCCACGCATCCTGTACTCTCTCTCTCTCTCTCTCTCTCTCACACACACACACACACACACACACACACACACACACACACACACACACACACATAGCTCTTCTCAGAATCTATCCATATTTGTATCTTATTTCATTTATGGTATGGACTCTCTCTCTCTCTCTCTCTCTCTCTCTCTCTCTCTCNCTCTCTCTCTCTCTCTCTCTCTCTCACACACACACACACACACACACACACACACACACACACACACACACACACACATCTCTTACGAGGAGTTTCTTTCATATGTCAAGGGCTGGTAAGGTTTTGCGCGTTGTATCGAATTAAACCACATGCTCCACCGCTTGTGCAGGCCCCCGTCAATTCCTTTGAGTTTCAGCCTTGCGACCGTACTCCCCAGGCGGAGTGTTTAACGCTGCAGATGTCCGCAACGAGACGGACACGACTTATTTCATGCGTGGAGCATGCATGAAAGACACCTGGAATGACGAACTCATTCCGGGGACCATAGCCTGTCGTGAAACACACGGCTCTTCTCAGAATCTATCCATATTTGTATCTTATTTCATTTATGGTATAGACTCACACACACACACACACACACACACACACACACACACACACACACACACACACTCGCTCCCCTGCTCCCTCCACCCACCTCTTTGGATCTCTCCAATGTCCATCTACCTTCCCAGGGCATACCCAGGGCATGCACTTAATGCTGTTATGGAACAGCAGCAGGCTGAGGTGAACTCAAAAACACCAGCCCAGCCCATATCAACTTGCAACAAACTAGGTAGGCTAATCCGACCAGCGATAAACTAGGCAGGCCAATTTTACCAGTAGGAGATCAATTTGCCGCCAACCGCCACAGACACAAGCTTCCATTGTCAAGCTGCACCAACCCCATACGAAAAGACACTGGACTTTCTGTTTGCCTCTTCCACATGTGTTGCTGTGGGTTAGAGACGCTTCCGCTGAGAATACGCTGACGTTTCAATCTGGCTCTCCCAAACATGTTGATTTGGAAGAGCGCGGGGAGGGCACGGGGGGGGGGATGGATTGTAGAGGCTGCTGCTGAGCAATCTGGCGTTGCTGGAAGTCGGGGAACCTACTCCGTCTTCTCCATGTAATATACATGCATGCCAGCCTGCCCGAGCATAATACTCTTGTCTTCCTTAGACCATTTTGACTGAATGTGGCCATAATATGGCCCTCAGATACGCTCTCAAAAATGTTTCCGTGAGTGCGAATACACACTCAGCCGATCCTGTGCCTTATCTGAAAGTTGACGCCGCCGCAAACACTCGACAGACAATTCAGGAAGGGGTCTCAAAGCCAAATATGCGGACGACACCTGTCATAATCATCAGCACCCCACCGCAAAATGACACACCACCGCTTTCATTAGCTAAACCTGTTTGTCTTTTTCTTTTTCTTTTTTTTTCTTTTTTTCCGCCTCAAATCACACTATATCCTTTCTTCTCTAAAATTATTTCAACATCTCCAAAATCTTTCAAATTCGCCTTCGAGTACCTACCTACCACAACTCCTAAGACTATAGAGGGGACCCCTGCAAGCATAGCTTTTCACCTCTCACAATGAAAGGGGATGTATGATACCCCTTGCCCTAGTGGTTTAGGGTGCAGGGTTGGGGCTGCCAGTGGCGGCCCGGCTAGCGCAAAGACCGAGCATTTTGTCAGTAGCTGCACCTCCCTTTTTCGTCTTCCCCCATCCCCGTCGAATAACAGCAGTGTCTAAGGCCAACTCTCTTCCACACACCACACACAACCGACTCACACTCACACTCACACCCCTGTTGGCCAAAGACCCTAATACCGACCAGGAGGATCCAGCCGACTCTCTCTCTCGGTTGGTTGACAGTGACACCAGGCGCGTTTTCTCTTTTTCTGAAGTTTTTCATATCCTTTTTTTTTCTTCTTCTTCCTTTCCTTTACTGACGCCAAAGGTTGTGCAGGTTGGAGACGGTAATAGGGGGACCTATGTCGCATGGCAATTTTCAATTGTCTTTCTTTTTATCTTTTTCATATCCTTTCTTTTTTTTGAAAAAAAATCCTGTACTGAATCTACTGATAAGTTCTTTTTTTTTTTTTTTTTAATACACTATGTTCTTCTCTCAAACTCTTTTTCGCCTTTCACTACCTTCCTGCCACTACTCCTAAGACTATATAGAGGGGACCCCTGCAAGCATAGGGCCTTGCAAACGAGGTAATTCATGTTGCCCCCCGCCCCAACAGCGGTAGTCAGAGATGGGGTGGGGCCGCCGGTGGGGGTCCGGCTAATGCAAAGACCGAGCATTTTGCCAGTAGCTGCGCCTCCCTTTCTCATCGTCCCCCACCCCTCATCGAGTAGCAGCAGAGGCTATCGCCAACACTCTCCCACACACCAGATTTTCAGTTTTGGTGGAGTACTTGACAGGACAGGGAAAAATACTTCAGGATCCACAGATCAGGAGTTCGAATCCTGTTGGGAACGACAATATTGACCACAGGCTACACTCTTTCCTAAACACACAAGAAAACCACACCGGAAAAACTTCAAAATACTGTTGGGAACGACAAAATCAGGAGTTCTGTTGGGAACGACAAAATAGTATCATACTAACTTCCAAAGGAGTATCATACCAACTTGGTAAGGGCATACTGACACAACTACTTCCTGGATGTATCTGGCCGCAATTAGGGCCTGTCATGGATGTATCCACCAACCCCAATCACATCCACAGCTCATTCGGTTAAGTCCACAGTGTGAGTATGCCTGTAGCATACTGAGAAGGACATCAAGGAAAGATGTCTCCCTATGGCATATGGCTAAGTCATTGGCAAAAAAGAACTGGGACAAAGGGTATCGTTCCACTACTCCACATTCTACATGCATTTGGACACGGTTGTTGACCAGGTGCATTCGTCGGAGTCCGACATGCTGCCGAATGTATTCACTCCACATTCCACATGCATTTGGATGCGATTCTGGACCAGGTACTTCGCAGGTGCCCAACATCCTGAATGTATTGTCCAGAATCCAGATACATGTAGAGCGTACTTGCAACCGCTCAAGCCGCACATTAGTGCGGAGTTCTGTGTGGAATTCCGTGCGGGGGGTGCCCGTGCGGAATTCCATGCGGGGGGTGCCTGGCGGAATCGTGCAGGTTTTTTATTTTTATTATTATTATTTATTTATTTTTGGGGAGGGGGGACGGGGGGACGGGGGAACGGGGGGACGTATGACGGGAAGATGGGGATATGGCGAGGAGAGGGATATGGAGAGGAGGAGGAGGATGTGGACGAGGAGGACAACGAGGATACTGAGGACGGCGAGGAGTAGTAGTAGAGATGGGGGAGGAGAAGAGATGGACGTAGGTAAAAGAGGAAGGGCAGGAGGATGACGAGTGGGAGGAGGAGGAGACATGGATGGTGAGGAAGGGGAGGACACGAGGAAGGGAAGGAGACGAGGAGGCATGGAAGATGAGGAAGCACGAGGAGGAAGAGGAGACAAGGAAGATGAGGAAGGGCAGGATGAGGAGGACAAACAAGAGGAGGACGACGAGTCGGAGGAGACAAAAAGGAGAAGGGAGGAGGAGACATGGAGGACGAAGAAGGGGAGGAGGAGCGAGGTGAGGCAGAGCTCCTGCAGTTTTTTTTCATCCTGCTTATAATTTTGGCGGGGGGCCTCGAATGCACCGTTGAAATCTGAGTCACCGTCACCCGTGAGGAGTCGCCATTGCCGTTGCCTCACTCTGGAGGTAATTTCGTGTGTGTGTGTGTGTGTGTGTGCACATGAGAGAGAGAGACGACAGCGCCTCCCCATCATGGTCTTCCTCCTCCTCCATGTCGACTTCTTCCTCCTCCTCTGGCTGTCCTCCATGTGTGTGCGTGTGTGAGTGTGTGTGTGTGTGCGCGTGCGTGCGTGAGAGAGAGACGACGGCGCCTCCCCGTCGTGGTCTTCCTCCTCCTCCACGTCGACTCCCTCCTCCTCTGTCTGTCCTCCATGTGTGTGTGTGTGTGTGTGTGTGTGTGTGTGTGTGTGTGTGTGTGTGTGTGTGTGTGTGTTTTAGATTTTCCCCACAACAGCCCCAATTCCACCCAGATGAATAGATTCAGAATCAAAGCAGTCTTTGTCCTATTGCAGACAACGAGAGCATTTGAGATGTCCAACATATTAAAGCAATTTTATAATTAGACAGTTTTTTGGTTGTCCTTGGGGTACCCCTTTCATTGTTCTTGCAGCTCCCCTTTTACTGTGCCTCTTACGCACAAGGCTGCTCACGTTGATTGTGGTTGAGCGGCAGCTGCCCACATCCCCGTGTGCCTTCATGGCCCACTTGCACGTTATTTCAGGAGGCAGAGTAAAAGGGAAGGTATGCTTCTGTGTATCTCTTCAGAGCTTCATACTCCTGCTCATTTCACTTCAGATCTTCAGCTTATACAGTCTTTGTGTCCGTCCTTCATCTTCATACTTCCGTTCATCTCATTTCTGATATTCATATCGTCTATACTCTTAATGATGCTCATTCGTATGTATTTGTTAGTAGTACAAGGGGAGGGGAGGGGAGGGTGAGGGTAAGGGGTAGAAGGCGGAGTTCTGTGTGTGTGTGTGTGTGTGTGTGTGTGTGTGTGTGTGTGTGTGTGTGCGTGAGAGAGAGAGAGACAACAGCACCTCACCGTCGTGGTCTTCCTCCTCCTCCTCCACGTCGACTTCTTCCTCCTCCTCTGTCTTTGTCCTCCATCTTCTCCACCTCCCTGTGGTCATCTTCCTCATCAATCTCATCCACCTCCCTATCGTCGTCTTCCTCCTCCTCCCCGTCGTCGTCTTCCATCTCCACCTCCTCCACCACCTGCCCTCCTCCCCTGCCACGTGTTTTTATTTTTTCGTTTGTTTTATTTTTGTCACTTCGAAGTTCGAACTTCAGTCAACCTCCCCATCATCGTCGTCCTCCTCCTCAAAGTTGTCGTCTTCCTCCTCCATCTCCTCCACCTCGCGGTTGCTGTCTTCCTCCTCCCCGTCGTCTTCAGCGTCCATCTCCTCCAGCTCCCCGTCGTCATCTTCCTCCTCCTCCTCCTCCCCGTCGCCGTCTTCCTCCTCCTCCCCTTCGTCGTCATCCTCCTCCTCCGCCTCGTCTTCATCCTCCATCTCCTCCTTCACTTCTAGGTCATCTTCCTCCTCCTCCTCCCTGTCGTAGTCTCCTCTACCTTCTTCCCTCCTTCCCTGACACACGTTTTTTCATTTGTTCTTTTTTCCACTTCGAAATTTGAAAACCAAACCTCAAAGTTTGAACTTCCCTCCTCCTCCTCATCGTGGTCTTCCTCATCCTCCTCCCCTTCGTCGTGTTCGTCCCCCATCTCCTCCACCTGCCCATCATCGTCTTTCTCGTCTGCCTCCTGTCTTTGTCTTCCTCCTGTCTTTGTCTTCCTCCCCCATCCGCTCCACCTCCCTGTTGTTATCTTCCCCGTCATTGTCCTCCACCTCCTCGTTGTCGTTTCGTCCTCCTCCTCCCCGCCATGGACAGACTTACACTCTTTGTGCGTGTATATGTGTGTGCGTGTGTGTGTGTGTGAATGCATCTGTTCCCCTTCGCAACCCCCCCCCGGCACCCACATAATGCCCTATATTAAAATTTAAAAGATAAATTAATAAATTAATAAAAAATTAAAACAAAAACGTACGTGCATGCACGTTTTTGGTCATGTGCATGTACGCGGGAGTACGTACGCGTACACACTGCATACACGTACGTGCTGCTACCCAATCAAACTTGTAGTAATTTTCTTGGAAGCACGACGTCCACGTACGCCTGCACCGCATACACGCATACGTGTATGCACGTACACGCGTACATACCGCTTACGTGTACGCGCATACCTGTTTTCAGGGTCCGCGTACGTGGTGGTAGCGGGCCAGTTGAGGAGCCGGTTTTGGCCCTGTAGGCCTTGGGTTGGTAGGCCTACTAATTTTATACAAATTAAAAATAGACTAATAGGCAAAGGAAAAGAATTAGAGCAGAAAAGTTCACTTACCTTCTGGGTTGTATTTGTAATCGTTCTTATGGTCTGACTTTTCTTCAGCGGCAAAGGCAAGAAGATAAGCCTTGGGGTTCCAATCCACACTATTCATAGCTGCACGCGTCGGGATTTGATGAACCGAGCGCCCTGTTTCCACCTCAGCCTGCCATCAAAATATGACCCATCGTTAGACACACTAAAAGAATGAAAAAAAACAGCCACAGAGTTGAAATGCACAACCAAATTTTGAACCAATACTTCATCAGCAGGTTCAATGAACTTACTATCTTAAAGTTTATGGAAAAAAAAAAAAACAGAGAAGGCAAAGGGGCAAAAAACAAATTAAAAACTTTAAACTTTAGAAAGTCACAAAGCGAAAAGAAACATATCGACGAGGACTTGAGAGGGGATTGTCAAAACAAACAAAAAAAAAAAAAAAAAAAAAAAAAAAAAAAGAGGAGAGTGCTAAGTGCCTGCTATAAGGTTACCCCACAGCTCCTTACCTTAGCTGTGAGAGAGATGGCCTCTGTTATGCCAGCGCATTCTTTCTTAACTGCGACTAATCATGGTTAACCGTGGTCAACCATGCCAGTGTTTTGAACTTTTCGACCACCGTTTTGTGCTTTTTGACCAGCGTGGTTAACCGTTTTGCGCTTTTTGACCAGCGTGGTTAACCGTTATGAACTTTTTGACCGTTTTGTGCTTTTTGACCAGCGTGGTTAACCGTTTTGAGCTTTTTGACCAGCGTGATTAACCGTTATGAACTTTTTGAGCAGCGTTTTGAACTTTTTGACCAGCGTTTTGAATTTTTTGACCAGCGTTTTTGACTTTTTGATCAGCGTGGTTAACCGTTATGAACTTTTTGACCAGCGTGGTTAACCGTTATGTCACATACCGTAATGGTACAGAGTCTACAGACCAGAACAAGAACCGACCTCTCTCACATAGTACAAGATAGCGCAGCGGAAGGCTAAAATACCAATGATCAACCCAATCAATGTCGCAATGCAGACCCAACATACATCATCATCATCATTGCAAGGTGTGAAGGACCTGGCGCTACACACAGGAAGAATGCGCCAGGTCCAGGCCATACACAGACGACGAGGAGGGGATCAGACGAAGAAGAAGGGGAGATGCGAATGTCGTCAACACCAAGTCTTCGACACATACACAGACGAAGAGGAGGGGATCAGACCAAGAAGAGGGGGAGATGCTAATGTCGTCAACACCAAGTCTTCAGCACGGGTCCCAAATAGTCCCTCGTCAAATGTCTCAATCCCAATGTCGAGCCTGGATCAAATGTCGTCAAGTCCCAAAGTCACAAATCTCTCTCTCTCTCTCTCTCGTAGTCTGTAGATACTGAGAAGTCACGTAGCGAGAGGGTGAGGGAGAGACGGTGGACTTAGAAGAGGAAGAAGAAGAACTCTCTCTCTCTCTCTCTCTCTCTCTCTCTCTCTCTCTCTCTCTCTCTCTCTCTCTCTCTCTCCCCTGTACTAACCTGTGAAGGTGGTGCCTTGTTGCAGGTACATCGAAGACGAAGCTGGAGCTATGGCGCCACACGTAAGTCTCCCTGGCCTCCGCCCTCTCTCTCTCTCCAACGCTACTCTATCTCATAATAGCGCCCAGCGCTGAAGACTACTCCTAGCGCATACAACTACTACTGCAGTGCTCCTCCAGAGTGCTGCTGCCGAATCCTGAAGACTTCCTCCTGCCTCCTGCACGTGAAGTCCCCTAACTGCCTGGGAAGTCCCTATCAACTACCTGCAGCCTGCAGGGCGGGCCAGTTCTAGTGCTGGCCCGTCCGGGAGGCTGCTCTTGCCAATGCTGAAACGTGCCAGACCCTGGCGTTGAAGTTCAAACAAAGGTTGTCTTGAAACAGGCCCAAAAATGGCCTGTGCTAAACCCTGGTCTGGCGCCTGAGTTTCGGGGCAGGTCGACTTTATGAGGGCCTGCAAATGGCCCTCGTTTTCAGGTTTTTAGGCTGAAACGACACACGGCCTGTAGGGCCCTTATTTTCCATCTGGTCGGGCCCTGCAGGCCCGTGCGGCTGCGCCGTATGCCACACGTTATGAGCTTTTTGACCGGCGTTTTGAACTTTTTTGACCAGCGTTTTGAACTTTTTGACCAGCGTTTTGAACTTTTTTGACCAGCGTTTTCAACTTTTTGACCAGCGTTTTCAACTTTTTGACCA